CCCCCCGCCACGTCCCACTCCACTCCATCCCCCGCCCCATCTCTTCCCCATGCAAGAAGCATGTAAATGTATTGCTACATACCTGTAGTCCCAGGTCAGTGATATTTCGACATTCAGCAAGTGTGATATCACGGAATCGCGGGTTGTTGCCAAGTGCCGCTACTCCCTGGTCCTGTATATTACACCCTGACAAATCCAGTGACATGAGGGAGGGGAGGGTGCCGAGCAATTCTACTCCAGCATCCGTCACGTGTTCGCAGTAACAGAAACTAGCATACACCAGATTGTGACATCTGAAAAGTAACGCAACACTGGTGTCAGTCCACGTTCACAAGACTGTGACGTATTAAAAGTAACGAAACACCATCAGTTGCATGTTGATAAACAAGATGCTGGTGATATGACATGTAAAGCGTGACACAACAAGTGTCTCATTCATACGCACAGTTTCAGTACTGTGACAGCTAAAACGAAACGAGAAAACAGAGAAAACCACCACAAGTTTATTTAAGGACATACTAAAGTTATTTGAACCTGATTTAGGCGGCTCAGACTTCAAAAGCGTTTAACATAACTACATTGCATGCAACGTAATGACGTGTATGTATTGCTGCTTTTCATGTGACGTCATCATTTTCCAAAATAAGAAATTACCAATCCTTCTGAAGTTTTAGTTTCATCAGATGAAAGACCCTCTAAAAACTTGACATTTTGCAGCGTTTAAGCTCGACAGGGTTCCTCATTTTGAAATAGGGCACGCCTGAATTTCCAAGTTTATACGTTGCGTGACATTAAAATGGCGGCCCGATTATGCTCTCGAGTAGGTCAAAAGGTGAGTTATTGCACAAGTTTTTGCTAACTAAGCTATTTGTTGCTCTATAAAAAGAGTTAATTTCAATGTGTCGGAGCTCTAGAGTAATAACTTTTCGTTTCAATGGCAAAACTCGATGACAGATATTTCTGTTACTTTACGGCCATGTTTGTGTCCCTCTGAGGGACACAAACATNATTGATGAGGATTAGAGACAAGTAATAAAAAATTACTGCTAACTCTAAATCATTAGTCACTGCGATTATTTACAGTTAAACATTCACAACAATGTTGGTCTCACCTCTGTGCTATTCTCAGTAACGTGACGTCACTGACTCGCACACAGTTGGTTAAATTGAGCTCTTTTATTTTGGCGCCAGACGGGCCTTCAACGATCTGCCTCACTCCCGTGTCCTGTATCCTGTACAGAACAAGAACAGTGTACATGTGCACTGATTAGAACAAAGCAATGGACAGACCCAACTCGAGTGGCTTAACATTGAACAAACGTTCGAACTATTTAGTCTGTGGATGAAACCCTAGTGTGTGACCATTCAAATGAAAGCTATTGAGCAGTACTTTCATGTGGTGCTGTTTATTGTTGCTGTACAAGGTAGTTCTAACTTTTAAGTCTNGTGGATGAAACCCTAGTGTGTGACCATTCAAATGAAAGCTATTGAGCAGTACTTTCATGTGGTGCTGTTTATTGTTGCTGTACAAGGTAGTTCTAACTTTTAAGTCTGTGGATGAAACCTTAGTGTGTGACCATTCAAATGAAAGCTATTGAGCAGTACTTTCATGTGGTGCTTTTTATTATGCTGTACAAGGTGGTTCTAACTTTTAAGTCTGTGGATGAAACCTTAGTGTGTGACCATTCATATGAAAGCTAATGAGCAGTAGTTTCATGTGGTACTTTTTGTGTCCATTAATGACTTATCAAACTGAAATTGAATTTGAGAACTGAAACTGAATATGAATACCAAAGCATCAGCGTTATCCAGCGTTGAAAAACGCGTTCCTAATCATTTGGGGTATAAATATCTTGCAGCAAGTTGCTTCTCTCTTTAAACAGTCTTCGTAACTTATCGACAATCTTCAGCACGTTTCTTACCTTACACAGTCGGCGACATTGACTACATTGAGATGCTTGGAGGAAGCCAAGGCCTTGAGAGCAAGATCAGTTATTCTGGGACAATCCACAAGATAAACATGGTCTAACATTGGGCAACTTTTCGCTAGCACTTTCACGGATGCGTCTGTCAGGCGATTGTTTCCTTGGAAATAAAGACGTAGAATATGAGAATAAAAACGGCAATGCCAAAGGTGACACGTCAAACACTAATAATAAGCTCCGGGCTTTTTCTATTCAAATATTTTTTAATGGGTTTTGTTTCTTGCGAGGAAAAGTTTTGGCTTGTTTTGTCGGGTACTTTGAAAACAAAACATTGATTGGGCTTGCATTTGGAAGGGAGGCGTTGTGAGACTTTAAGGTGCCTCGGAAACGGTTATCAACATGACGATCTATAAAACAACAACAACAAAAAAAAACTCCTGAAACGAACATCAAATGCCACCAAACAAGTTCTACAATGCTCCATTAAAACAATTAGATTATGAGCTCGAGATTTCTATCGCGTGAGAGTTGACGAGGGCGCAGAGAAATCGAGAGCGAATAATCGAATTGTTTTAGTATAAATCTCCTAGTCGTTCAAACCTTTTCTAAATCCTCTTCCCAGACACTTCGAAAATGCAAAGAAGCGGCCGTCATTTTGTTAACAAGCGCACACTGCTACGCCACTCGCTATCTATCAGAGAATAGATAGTGAGTAGCGTAGCCAATCAGAGAACGGCACTCGTGATAGAACACTAGCAGATTTATACTAACATTGTTTAGAATATAGCTGCTGTATACCCTCTACTGGATCTGAGATTGCATTTTTTTTTTTTATAGATAATGCATTTTTGAGGTCCAGAAAAAGTGCTGAACGCACTGACGTTTCGCTCCTGCGTCCTCTAGCAGTTTTTCTAGATTTCAAGTCTGCATTATTTCCTTAGAAAACATAGAACACCATCGTCTATTTGGCAGATGGGCGAGGGGAGCTTTATTTTATCAGAAAGCAGCGAATCCCAAAAATGAATGACAAAATTATCAACCTCGACTTACCCTCAACTCGAATCTTGTGCATTCTTCTGCACGACGCAAGACATTTGAAAGCAGCATCTGACAGGAATGGCGAGTTTAATATTGAAACGTTCTTTAAAGTACGGCATTCGGATGTTAACGCCTAGAGGGAACCACATAAAAAGAAAACAAATCAGACCAACACTTAAGAAATGTTTTCCTTACGATCCCCAGAAAGTAACGAACCCCAATGGATCCCCAATATAAGCTCGATTACCAGCAGCTGTTCAGGAATATGATCCCGCGCTCCTCTCTCCGAACTCTCGAGGAGGACCCTCGGGAACCGGACCCACAGGAGGGTGGCGGAAATCGAGCCTAATCCTGATATTGTCCCTGGGAAAATACCAATAGAACATGGCTGCTAAATCTTAGGTATGTAGGGTCGTTATCCCCGGAACTTCAAGGTACTTGGAGAAAAAGTGAAGAAAATCACCGGCAAGAACCCGGGCATTCAACAATGAATCTTAATGGTCTCGTAAATACCTGAACACAATCGTCTCTCAGCCCAGGCAGTTCATTCAGGATAATTGTTGTTAAACTGGAGCAACCCATAGAGATAAACTTGAATCCCTCTTGTGTAATCTGAAAACAATTCAAACATGCCAGCCTAAGTCAAACAGAAATCATTCTTCGTTAACTGAACGATTTTCACTTGAGTAAGGAAATGAACACGCGTTTGCTTTGGTTTTAATTTCCTATGCTTAGACATTGGTTTAAAAATCTCGCGCAACTTTTTCATCTAGTCAGAAGTTATTCCCAAAACCAATCTTGACTCCCTTGCACATGTTTCTCAGCCACATGTATCTGCTTATCGTTTTACTTTCACAGAATTGGCTGTCTTTTGCGACTGACCAGGGAGCTTGGCAAGAGTGATAACTTTGGTTTTGGTTTCACGACACTCAATCTTCACTTGAATCTCAGACGTTTCTCACAGGTGATAGAAATAAGCATGCAACTAAATGAGACTTGAAACGATTTTTTACAACCATCGTAGAACTGCAACTAGAGCCTATAGAAAAAAAACTCTGAACATAACTAAACTAGGATTTTTCCTTTGCATAACACAATTAGAAATATTATAATAATAATATTCCAACAAGACTAATCTGTCTCTAAATAATTTATTATAATCCCAAGTCAAATACTTTGGGAAAATTTCTCACGTACCTGCTCACATCCTGACAAGTCGAGGTGTACTATCTTGTGGCAGCCTTTTCCGTTCGCCATGTAACTAAGACCCTTGTTGGTGAACTTTGTACAGTAAGCCAAGCTCAGATAGAGCATGTTAGTGCAGTACCTAACCAATTCCACAGGAACACACATTAATATTTCTCTAACTCGGAGCGGTTTGTACTGAATTTCGTAAAACCAATACCAAAGCTTTACCCAATCATGAAGGACACGGACAATCCGGTGAACCAATCAACTTACAGTAAACACGTGTAGCCGACATGAAGCGCAGGAAAACGTGTGGGAGGGAGTTGCGATTGGTGTTGGTTTTACTTCTGACTGGATGAGCGTAGTATATGAAGTAAATGAGAAAACAGACTCCAGAAGAGTTGAGTTACTTTATAAATCGAAATTTACACATTTAGAAAAACGCACCTTCCAAGATATCTGAGAGAAGCATCAGAAATTGGAGTGCCTGCCAAGTTTAAGTACAGCAAAGATGTGCATCCTATGGCAATGCTTTTAATTACTTCATCCTAAGTGAAAAAATAAATTAAATCAAAACACATCTTGATCTTGCTTTTCTTAATTTTCATTGGTCAGAAGTCCAGCAAAAGAGACATTTAAACTACTTTTACAAATAGCTGTTACTGCAGTTATCAGTGGTTTGACTTAAAAATGAGGTAAAAGGAGCAATTCTGCTTTTTATTCACCCTATCACCCTGTGCGTTCATTGGAGATAAGCATGTGTACATGTAAGATGATACTAACAACAGAGAAGAACTATCCAGTGCAGCTCTCCAAGACAGTCATTTATATCCCACTAAGTCATCCTTAATCATTTTCCTGGCTGTTGAGCCAGTGCCAAACAAGGATGAGCAAAAACTCTTAGTGACTGTGGAAAAAATTTCATTTTCACCACTCTCCTGCGACATCCTGTGGGTTCATGATCATTTTCCTGAGCAGGGGCTGGTATTGAAGCCTCTAACTTTCTGGTGCTTTCCTACCTTAGCAAAATACTATTTGTCATCTTGTTTGACAAAAATCAAAATACAGTAATACTTATTGCNCAGCAACAATATTAATTCTCAGCAGTGAAAAATAGTCAGTAGAAATGCAAAAAGCATGCAAAAATAATAGTAACACATTGCAAAATGCAAAATAATCATTGAAAGCTTTCTTAGAAATGTCTATTTAACATAACAGATAACTTAAGAAACACAATAATATTATATACTAAATTTTTTGGATAAAACAATATTTGAATTATTTTACCTTACTCCACAGAATGTTGGCCTGAATTAAGACTTTCCAGCTTCGGCAGACACGAGCACAACGACCCAAGTCACCCACGCTCACATAACTGAAAATCTAAATTATTATAGAAATTGGCACAATGTCACTGATCAATATCATCACAAATCTACATTTAATATATCCTCATTTGACAAATTTGTTCAAATAAAAAGCCAAACTTTTTAGAGGCAAGCATGAAGCTTTACTAGAATTTCCAGAAGGTAGAGTGCAAACAACTACTTACTCTTAAAGCAACATGTCTTGGAAGCGAGGAGATTTCATCTCTGCCATCTGCCCTGACCCGGAAGAACCCTTCATAAACAGAGTCAAGGATCTCTCCTCTTTCAATCCGCTGGACATGTTGATTGAAAATTCCAAGTAGTTAGACATTGGAGACTAAAATTCAATGTGGTCACATTTAACCTTTACGCTGTAGGTTGACTCATGATCATTAGACAAGAATAGTTTCCTGTATTTAACAACAACTAGTATCTATAATTTTTAACATTGATACCAACAGTTACATGTGTAAGTTTAATAATAAGCTATTGAGCAGCAGTTAATATTGCACATGACTAGGTAAGGTAAAGTCTGCATACAAGCCAAGTTGCCCATCAGTCCGGAGCTTATCCTGGTTTCTGCNGTAAACTAACTTCCAATCGAAAAACGTGGATATGTAACAAAACAAAAGCAAACAACCAAGCCAAACAAGTCAAAATCAAAGTTTTTAAGCCAAAATTGAAAGAAAGATATAAAAGCAATCAACGTCGAATGTAGCTTGCAAAATAAACGAACAAAAATCTGAACGCTGTCAAAAAACTGAATTTACAACAGAAAATTAACGCTAACCCTTAAACTAAGGTTTTCTTCTAGATAACCAGCTGGGCACAACCAGCTGGGCTTTATGGAAGTCAGAGTGCAGATATAAGGTTAACTTTCACTTTAGAAGTGTATTCTTACCTCGAACACATCAGGAAGACGATGCCTTAGCAGATATTTTCTTAACTGGGGGTCGCAGTTCTTGAGGGAAGTCATGGTTTATACTATAAAGTGAGCAACACTTCTGACTTTTACAATCGACTTCAACAAGTCCGCCATTTTGCGGCTGTTCTCACCATAGAAACGAAATTCTCGACCCAGTCTTTCACCAAACGACCATGAATGACCAGAAAAATAGGTCCGCAATGTGGCAGTAGAACTAGCTAGAGAGGAACTGGATTGTTTTGATTTCTGTTGCGAATTTTGATGATTAAAGGTTTGAAAACATCGACACTTGAAACAGGGAAGGAGTTATGACACTAGAAAAACAAAAACGTGATTAGAGAAAAATATTGTGGGCAACTTCTCCCCTNTTGTTGCGAATTTTGATGATTAAAGGTTTGAAAACATCGACACTTGAAACAGGGAAGGAGTTATGACACTGGAAAAACAAAAACGCGATTAGAGAAAAATATTGTGGGCAACTTCTCCCCTTTACCACGAACCGGAACTCGCTTTTCTTGGTTTAGCTTCCTGTCCTTCAAGAAATTTAGAAAATCCTCTGTCGGCCTGCAATGCTGGTGGATTTATTTTGCGAGTAAGCGCATTTTTATCAAGCGAGCGCCATCTTGGCTTCAAACCCGGAAGAGGCCTCTGGAGGCCTGGGGAGAGGCGAAAGGGCGATTGAGAGCTAATACTGATAACGCGCGAGGACACGGACAACACCAGCACTACAACCTAATCCTCAGTTATCCTGAAAAAGGTCCAACTTCTTGTAAGGTAAATTAACACTCCGTATATGACCCATATTGATGTTGGTTCATTGAATCATATTTTTATTGACTCCAGTATCCACATACTTATTTTTTTTATATTTTTTATTTTTTTGTGACAGGGTAAGGTAACAGGAATTGTGTTTGATGTTTGGGGTGCACTTATGAATGTAACCGAGTATGTCGTGTTGTAAAAACCAAATCTACAGAAATAATTCTTCATACATTATGTTTGCGACCAACTGTGTTTTTGGTTTCATTTATTTCAATATTCTACCTATATTCTATTCTACTACAGTCATTGAATTCTAAATCTAATTATTTCATGATATAAGCTCTCTTTGAAATAGCTTTGTACGTTGTATTTATCTCTAAATTCCGTAGTAGTCCCGAATTTTTCCAGATTTTTAAAGGGAAGTGAAACAATCTCGAACTTGCGTAACTTGATGATTGGCCTAATTCCGATTCTAACGTCGTGAAAGACAGATTTTTGAACAGACAAGCGATAGTAATAATGAAATCTCGTTACCAGGAAATTAAAACATGTCTAGCAAAAAGTGGAAAGAATTGATGTTTTGAATTTTGAAGCGACGAGGAGTTCACCGAGGTCAAACAAAGTGTTCTGTGGCAACATTTTTAAAAGTTCCTCCACAGACTAAACAGCTAGTTGTAGGCCACTAAGATGAGTCCTCAACCACAAGACCTCGATAACGTTTCTCCACACAATACACGCTGATGTTATCGAATTCTGGTCCCCAGTGCTACTCTTTTTAAAATGTCGTTACCACGTGACCAAAAGAAATGGAGGCTGTGGGGAAGAGAATGATGCTAAGTGTTTGGTCTAAATTTGGTTTGGTCTACGGTTTGGCCTAAATTTCTCCAGCGAAGTGTTGACGAGGCGTAACTTGCTATTCTTTCAAGGCCCTTAACCAGCCAAAAAATCTTTTTTTATGATTGATTGATTCCTCCAAGACAGATGTACTTGATTTCAAGGTACTCCTCGATGCCATATTTAGAGCCCTCTCTTCCCAACCCAGATTGTTTCCAGCCACCAAAGGGTGCAATCTCGGAGGAGATTATTCCTTCATTTACTCCTACCATCCCTACTTCCATAGCTTCAGCGACGCGCCAGATTTGGCTCATATCCTGCGAGAAAAAATAACCTGGAAGAAAACGTTTCGCAAAGATTAAAAGACTGTTACTTGTTCGCTAGAGTCTTACATGACCACAACAGGGAAGCCGACGACAACGTCGATTAAAAATGACGAATGTACTTAAGAATCATGCAAGTATCTAAATTTCCGTCTCTCAGAGTGAAATTAGGGGAGCAGGGATGACGCAGTGCTGAGAGCGCTCGCCTCTCATCAATGTGGCCCGGGTTCGATTCCGACCCAGTGTCATATGTGAGTTGAGTTTGTTGTTGGTTCTCTCCTTGCTCCAAAGGTTTTTCTCCGGGTTCTCCGGTTTTCCTCCCTCCACAAAAACCAACACTCTAGGTTCAACCAGGATAGAGGAGCCGCATGTAACCAGCTAAATATGACGTGGCTTCCTCTCTTAATATTGTAATCTATGTAAATATTTACATTTATATTTACAGTTTTACATGGCAAAGGTTGCCCATCCCCGCCACGGAGTGCTGGTGCAGGTGCATGTGATCAAGTTAATATAATGTAACTGTAACTGTAATTAAACTGTAACTGGCTCCGTCAATGTCACCTCTTTCTTTGAGTGGCGACATATCTGCTAACCCTGGACTACACAGTAAGTTTCCTTGCAGTATGCGCACGAGACTGGTTAATTTAAACCAGAAAGGTATCTGTTCCGTGCAGAATTCTCCGGCTCAGTTCACGTCGCCCCGTTCTAGGCAGAACTTGTTGTTTTGCAGAGAACGACTAAAAATGGACCAAGATGCAACAAACGTGCAAAGCCATTTACATCGTTTCTTCGTAGACGTTCTCGATGCCTTTGTTTTGTGGGAGACGGCAAAAAAAGAAAAACGCTCCGCTTCAAAAGGAAAAACATTTCGCGATTGAAAAAATTTTACAAAAATCCTGTGTTTTCTACAAAGCTTAAAAGAAAAGTTAAAAACTTACCTGCGAGTCCTGATGAAGTGTCATTACCTACTGCTACAGCTTCTTCTTCAGTCTTGAACCTAACAACGCACCAACATCAAAATATTAACTCTCCATACCAATTGCAACACATTTCTTTTGATGTCAGCTGGAAGACTCTATATAGAAAAAACGTGTCTTTATTCTGAAGTCTCCATACCGTAGTTGCCACAAACATCCCTTTTCAAAATTCCCTGACTTTTCCCTTATAGAAATAAAATTTCCCTGACCAAATAAATACAAAATGTCAGATACAGAAGCCGCTTCTAAACTCCCGTTACAGCCGCCTTTTTAAGACTGACAAATTTTCAACAAATCTTCTTTCTTCATTTAAGGAAAAGCATTGCTGAGATCACAGTGACTTCAATTGTTTCTTCCAGCCTTCAATGGTATTAAATCAGCCGTGGTGAATTATTTCAATTTTCCCTGACTTTCCTACTCAATGTCAATTTCCTCGGACTCATCATAAAATTCCCGGATTTTTCCTTGACTCTCTCAAAATCATTAATAATTCATCAAGTTAAAACAAACAAAATCACAACCGTGAAGGAGGTTTGGATACCCGATCCTAATTAGCATAGATTTTGACGATTTTACTTGTCTATTTACTCCTTAGTTTTTGTTTTGATTGAGAAGATATATCAAACATTCGAGACAGTGTTTCCTCGGCTATCCAAACACCTCGAAATTTCATCAAAGATACTCCGCTGCGCATCGTATCCCCAACTCTTTTCTCGGAGTTTGGATATCCCGATGAAACACTGTCTCTCGTGTTTGATATATTATTTGAAGAAGCTTTCCCCTGTCCAAGCAGATGCTCTTTGGGCTTGTCACACAATGTTCCTCCCCCATTGCGTGACAAGCCCAAAGAGCGTCTGCACAGGAGGCTTAAGTACAGATGACAAAGAACTAAATATGAGATCACTGTTGCCTCTCTTCGTGGTTACAAACGTTTTTACACAAACAACGGCCAATGACAGCCAAGTCATCGTTACGTGACTCCTCATTGTTCACAAATGAAGAAGTGATTCCTGTTATGACATCACATTTTACCTTATAAGGGGAGCCACTGGTCCAAAGGTTTCTTGACTACAAATGATCATGTCACGCGTAACATCGGTCAGAATGGTTGGCTGAAAGAAGTTACCTCCCAGCTCATGCCGTTGGCCACCTCGCAGGCATTTGGCACCTTTGGACAGAGCATCCTTAACATGGCTTTCAACCTGATCAGGTCAAAAATATGGAATGTTTGACTGTTTAATGAAGCTATGCCACAAATGACACATCTGAATAATTTTACTCTCTCTGATAGCTCATCAGACTTAAACAGGTAGGTTAAGTCCGTGTCGGGCCAAGTCGCCCATATAGCATAGCTTAGGGCAGTTTCTGTGGTATTAAGTAGCCGAGAGTGGTTTTACTCTGCCCTGGATGGGATCCCAATCCATCACAGGGTCACTGCCCAGCATTAAATTTGGTACCCATTTGGTGCCAAATTTGTGGAGAGAGGCACTGTGACAAGATCAAAACACACTGACCCTGGCCAGGGCCAGGGTTTAAACCCACACTGCCCAATCCAGAGTCCAGCACCCTAACAATTAGGCTACCACATCTCCACATTTTCTTATTAGGCACACCCTAATTGCATGAGAAATTCTGTGCAGTGCAGTTACTAAAGAATCACATTAACCAAGGCTTTGTTTAAATAGTCAGTAGGCTCAAAAGCATGATATCTAGATTGAACAACACAAGCCACAATTTATTACACAAGATAAAGGAGTATAGACCCTTTTCATAAATGGCTGCCAATTTAAAATTCTTATGTATGCATTTACATTAGCCTCGCTAAACCCGTTTGGGAGTAAAAATTCTTTGGAATTATCAACTAAAAAACGAGGTTAGTCAGGCTAATTTTAAGTTTACAAAAGAATTTATAACTGGCAGCCATTTATGAAAAGGATCTCTGCAGTACTTTTTGCACAGCTTTTTCATTGATGAGTGGTCCTTGTGTAGATGATGACTCCATTCCATTTCCCACTTTCATTTGTTTGTCCACAGCTGCAGCAAACTTGGTAGCAAACTCATCATAAATTTTGTCTTGAACCAGAATTCGATTGGCACAGATGCAGGTCTGACACAGAAATGGAATAAGTTTACACAAAAACTCAAGCTTGTTAATAATTCATAAAGGTATGACAGAGAAAATCATAACAACAACCAAATCTTGATAGCTGATTTTAATCAGCAAACAATAACATATAATTTATTTAGTTCACAGTGTGAAGATTTCAGTTTAGAAAGAGAAATAAGGCAACCATTAGGAGGAGTGGATTAGAATTGGTTATCAAATGGTGACAAGTGAAATTAGGAAGTAATCTCATGCACATTTTCTTTGTCAAAATTCTGACTAACAATTTTCCGAGACTTTAGACAAGGGAAATTATTAGAATAATATTCCTGCATTTCACGAGTATACCATTTGATTACCTTTTACTTTCATGGGTGACAAATATTATGCTTACAAAATAATGTGGGTTTTTGACTGTATTGAGAAATATCACCCCAAATGTTGCCATGACAATTTTGTGTTTTTTCACATGTGAAATCAATGAATAAATTAACACTTCATTGAAATTTTGTGACAAAATTCAGGAATAATTAGTCACCCATTATATTACTTGATTAATTTCGGGACCGAAGCTTAAGGGGTCAGTAAACACCTGAGCAGTGTGCCTAAACTTGGCAGTGATCGCTCCCTCCACAGCGGCATCAATATTGGCAGAGTTAAACACAATAAATGGAGCATTTCCACCCAGCTCTAGGGAGACTCTCTTGATTGGATCAACACACTTTGCAAGGAGAAGCTGAAGGGGAACAAAAAATTCAATGGAAAGAAAATTGGCTTCAAAGCAACATAAGACTACACAGCAAACTAACACTAAACAGGTTATCAGTGGAACATTTTATGTCCATCCCTGGATAAAATTTACACAATATCAGGGATTTTTTTTAGGGTGAGGCCTTTATGCACAAAAAGCTCTCTTGCTAAACTGCTAAATACTAGGTATTTATGAGGCCTAAAAGTGATGATTTTTGTTTCATTAAATTTTCGTAGCTACACATCTCAATGCAATGCAGTAGCACTGAATAAAATGCTTTTCAACAAATACATTTTGTGAGGAAAATTATTAATTAAACATTTCAAAAATACAACACTTTGTTACAATTTTCTGCTATCTTTTGTTGGTATTATCTTTGCATGTGATCTTCGTTTCCATCCTTGTACTTGTATGTTAGCTAACATAATACGTCAAGTTATTTAATACTATTTTTAATGATAAACTGAAGATGGTGCCTGCAGGTCATGTGCCGAAACATGTCTCTAAAGAGTTGTGTCATGATTTTCAAATGTTTACTTTAATTTACTCCTAGTACCAAGATAATATGGACATT